CCGCACGGCGGAGCCCCGCAGCTCGCCCGGCCCGGTCCCCGCGGAGGCCGAGCCCGCGCCCGGGCAGAGCCTGCGCGTCTTCTCCGACCTGCACGCCTTCTACTACTCATGGTACGGGAGCCCGCGGCGCGAGGGCCACTACATCCACTGGGACCACGTCATGGTGCCACACTGGGACCCCAAGATCTCGGCCAGCTACCCCCGGGGCCGCCACAGCCCCCCGGACGACTTGGGCTCCAGCTTCTACCCGGAGCTGGGCCCCTACAGCTCCCGGGACCCCGACGTGCTGCGGGAGCACATGACCCAGCTCAAGGAAGCCGCCATCGGTGAGCTCCCCGCACCCCAGGAGGCGCCGTCCCCAGCCTCGCCCTCCCCCTCCCACACCCCAACTCCTGCTGTCGCCATCACAGGCCCTTTGGTCCCATTCATTTGCCAGCCTGACCTCTTAGCTTTTCCTGTCACTCCTCTCATGGGCCCACCGCGCCCCACTACCCCTTCCTTCTAGGATCCCGACCCCCCTCCCGGGGCCCTTCTGACCCCCAACAGTTCCAGGGCTCTTCTATAGGGAGAGCTGCTGAGGACTTACACAGAGCTGTCCTAGGTAGGTACAGCAAGGTGAGGGAGACAGAGATTTTACATCCCTTGTGTGTCCAGGTTCCAGGAAAGTGAGGCTGCTCAGGAGTCTGTGGTTCAGAGGAGTAGTCTGGGACAGCTCTGCTTTCACACCAGGTGCTGGGGAGGGCAGCGGCCCTTCCTGCGCTTGCTGGCTGCAGAGAGGAAAGTTACCCATGTCGGTCCTTGGGTGAGGGATTCGTGAAATGTCCAGCTAGAAGACAGGTTCCTGGGAGCCACCGATGCAGGCAGCGCTGGGGAAGCACCTTGGTTCATATTCTGCCGGACTTTAAGTACATTTTAATGTACCTGGGGATGGTTCGTGAGGGGGAAAGTATAGAATGACAGAGAGGGGTGATGAGTATACAGAGATAATAGATAGGGGCTACTCTTCAGATTTAGGGTCTAGGAGGGCAGTGAGTGCTACATATTCTCACCAGAAGCACCGGGATGAGAGATGCTCCTCTTCGGAGGTAAGACTGTGGCTTCCAGGTTGGTGTGGCATTGCCACCCTCCCCCCTTTGTTTTGCTACTTGCTGATGCACTCAAAGCCGGGTTCCTTGCCGGCCTGGTGCGCTGCGACTCTCCTGAGCGCGGCGCTTCAGCACCGCTGGCATGGACAGCTCCAAAGAGCGTCGTCTGAGCTGCAGGAAATGAACCTGGCAGAAGGTTTTCAGGAGTCCTTTTACAGCCGGAGACGATATGTGAGAAGAAAGTTTCTATTGAAGGGTTCTGTGTACCTCTGAAGAGGCCTCTGTGTTGTGTCTCAGGCGTCCTGGTCCTCTCCTGGTACCCACCTGGCATGGCTGATGATAATGGGGAACCCTCAGATGACCTGGTACCTGCCATTCTGGACACCGCCCATCAGTACAACATCCAGGTGAGTCCCCAGCAGGGGAGATGTATTTTCCCATTCTGGAGAGTTCCTGTCCTCTACCCATCGTGCCTCTAGGGAAGTTCTTGGCACAGCCCTGGATGGCAAACATAGGACAAGTGTGTCAGGGAAAGGTGCTAATACAGAGTGCCTGTGTCACTCTTTCTTGGGAAACACTGAGAAAACGACAGAAAATGGGAGACTAAATAAATGTCACTTTTATTAAATAGTAGTAAATCAGGTTAGAGATTCTGACCCTGGATAAAAGGAGCCAAATGAGCCTGCAGACTGAACTCTGGACTTTGGTCTCAAGTGGAAGGCAATACCAGGCCTCGAGGAGGGGAGGAGTTGAGCAGGCAGGTTCCCCTTTAAGAAACACATAAGCTAATTATGGGGTTATTTCCCCCAAATGTGCCAATTACATCCATCCCCATTTCTGTGGCAAAGGAAGAAAATGGCAGCAAGAAGCCCGGCTCACTATCCCCGAGTCCATTGCTGTCATGTTTAATGGGTCATAGCACATTTTCTCAGGGAAACAGCTTCAGCAAACTTCTTTCAAGTGTTTCAGGCAGCTGGTGCCAACCACTGGGAGCTGGCACATAAACTGAAGCTTGGTAGCCATCCTGCAACAAACAGCCCACCAGAATGAGTCTTTGTGCCCTGTTGTAGGAAGTGGGCAAACCTCATGCCCTTCTTTTTTGGCACAGAAGGGCAGTGACAGCCTTTGGGTTCATTGTCAGACCTTCCAAACTCAGCTGTCCTCCGGGCCATGGCTAGGGCATGAGCCTTACATGTTGTGGCTCCTGGAAAGACAGTCATCTGACCAGTAACTCCTGTGTTTGTGGCAGGTGGCCTTCCACATCCAACCCTACAAGGGCCGGGACGACATCACTGTACATGACAACATCAAGTACATCATTGACATGTAAGGTTGCTCTGGGGACTGGGGTTCTGATGGGGATCTGGGGATGTAGGGATAGAAGGTTTGGAGAGCCAGATCAGGACACAAGAGCAGAACAATTAGATAGGTGACCTGGGTTTCAATTCTAGTTCTGTGCCCTCTAATCTGTGACCAGAGGCAGACCTCTTAAGCTTTGAATTTTGTGAGAGTTATGTAAATCAATACATATAGAATTGCTTTGTATAGTGCCTGTACATATTCATTCATTTAAAAGGTATCTATTGAGTGTTTATTTTTATTTACTTATTTATTTTGTCTTTTTGAAACAGGGTCTCGCTATGCAGTTCAGGCTGGTCTTTAGCTCGCTTTTCTCTATTGAGTGTTTATATGTAACTGCGTACTTTTCTTAGCCCACCCATTATACAGTAATGGGTAAAAACAAGGCTTCTGAGTTCATGCCTACATTCTAGTGTGTGTTAGGGGTACAGTGGAGCCAGAAATAATTAAACATGAAAAACTAAATAGTAATTCATACTATGAAAAAAATAAGAATAAGGAATAATACAGAGTTTTGTATTAGAATGTGCCCAAGGAACTTACTTTTTTGCAGTACTGGGGATCAAACACAACATGCTAAGCGTAAAGACTGATCTACACCCTCAGGCCTCAAGAAACAACTTTCAAATGAGTGGCCAAGAACACCTCTTTTAATAGACAGTGTTGAGCCCTGAATTTGGGGTTGGCTGTTGCTCTCATCCCATCCCTGGGAGCACACAGCAAGATGGTGAGCATCAACCAGCCAGGGAGGGAGCCTTCACCAAGAACCAAATCTTTTAGGCACCTTGATCTCAGATCTACCAGCTTTCAGAACTATGAAGAATAAATGTGGTTAGGCAAAAGAAAGGGTGAGATAGCATGTAGCTTACTTAGCATGCATGAGACCCTGGGCTCAATACCCAACATCAGGAAGAAAAAAAAAGTCAGCTCTGCAAAGATCTGGGGGCAGGGGGAAAATTCTAGACACAGAGGTGATGGATGCAGTGGCCATAGGATGGAACTACTAGACATGGCATCAGAATAAAAAGGCCAGATGGGAAGTGGAGATGTGTGGGATAATAGCTGGAATGGAGGCAGGCAGGCCAGATCAAGCAAGGTGGAGCTTGCAAGCCCTGGTGAAGAGCAGTCAGATCTGATTTACACTTTCTTTTTTTTTTTTTTTTTTTTTTTGGTATTGGGAATTGAACCCAGGGCCTTTACCCTGAGCTATGCCCCAGCCCTATATTTTGTATTTTAAGACAGAGTCTCACTAAGCTAAGTTGCCCAGACTGGGATAAACTTGACTTTTATTTTTAAAATGGAATGGAGCTTGGTGTGGTGGTACACATCGGTAATCCCAGCACCTGGGAGGTTGAGACGGGAGGACCATAAATTGAAGGTTAGCCTGAGTTACACAGACTGTTTCAAAATAAATAAATAGCCAGGCACAGTGGTACACACCTATAATTCCAGGTACTCAGGAGGCTGAACCAAGAGACCAGTCTGGGCAAATTAGTGACACCCTGTCTCAAAATTAAAAAAAAAAAAGGGCTAAGAATGCAGCTTAGTGCAAAGGTCCTGGGTTCAATCCCCAGTAGCAAATAAATAAATATAAAGAATAGATCATAGGGAGGCAGAATGGAAGCCTGAAGACCAGTTAAGTGGCTATTGCTGAAATCTAGGTGAAAGAGGGTGGTAGCTTGGGGGAGGGCAATGAGCCTTAGGAACGAGAGGGCTAGGGAACAAAGGGGGAAGCTGGTTCTTACTCTGGTAAATTCCACTGTGGAGACTGGCCGGGTCCTAAACTGTGCAGTGGGCATTGAGAATGACCTCACCTATGGCTGCTCCCATAGTTGTGCTGGTTTCTTATATCCAACTCAGACTCCTTCCACCTGCTCTTCAGGTATGGCTCCCATGGTGCATTTTACCGCTACAAGAACAGCATGGGCAAAAGCCTTCCACTCTTTTATATCTACGACTCATACCTGACATCCCCTGAGGCCTGGGCGCACCTCCTGACACCAAATGGGCCCCATTCTATCCGCAACACACCCTACGATGGAGTCTTCATCGCGTTGCTGGTGGAGGAGGGCCACACCCATGACATCCTCGCAGCAGGATTTGATGGCATGTACACCTACTTTGCTTCCAATGGTTTCTCCTTTGGCTCCTCCCATCAGAACTGGAAAGCTGTGAAGAACTTTTGTGATGCCAACAATCTCATGTTCATTCCCAGCGTGGGGCCTGGCTACATTGACACCAGCATTCGGCCCTGGAATAACCACAATACTCGAAACAGGGTCAATGGCAAGTACTATGAGACAGCGCTGCAGGCAGCCCTGACAGTGAGGCCAGAGATCGTCTCCATCACCTCTTTCAATGAGTGGCATGAAGGCACACAGATTGAGAAGGCCATTCCCAAGAAGACGCCCACTCGCCTATATTTGGACTACCTGCCTCATCAGCCCAGCCTGTACCTGGAGCTGACCCGCCGCTGGGCAGAGCACTTCATTAAGGAGAAGGAGCAGTGGCTGATGTGAGGCCCCTGGACGCTGACATGCAGGCCGTGCTAGATGTCACCATGCAGGCTCAGCCAAGGGTATAGGCACTCACTGGCCCCCAAGTCAGCAGCTGGGTGCTTCTGGGTGGCCATTAAGCCGGGCCCATGGAGAACAGAGCCTATTGCTCTGGGAGCGTGGTGGGGCCCACTGCAGGGATGCAAAGCAAGGTGGTGTTCCAGAGAGAAGGGTGGAAGCTGACAGGTGACTGCTCGTAGCCTAGGGCAGCTCCATGTCCTTAGGCCACTTTTATATAATCTCTTCTGGCTTTGAACTCTGTGCAGGTTGTTGTATGGTGAAGTCACGCAGTTCCTGCCCTTGGGTTTCAGCGCTCTGAGCTAGCATGCACCCTACTCCCTCTGCCAGTCTGTGTCCCCTTTTCAGGCCTCCTCCCTCATTGTGTCTTCTTGAAGATAGGGAACCACTGTTGAGACTTTCTAACAGGGAACTTACAGGTTTAAGTTCCTTCCAGTAGATTATCCAATTGTCAGGGAACAGTCCTGAGCAGTCACACTTACTCAACACCGAGCACCTTAGTAGTGCTCAGTGCTGGGAAAACCTGACCTAGGAATGGCTCCTGTCCTCCCAATGCTTCAGGATCCAGTTTTCTTTATTTGGCGTGGCCTTGTAGCTAGTGCCTGGGCACAGTTGTAAGTTTTTCTTTTTTGGCAATTTTACCCAGTGTTAATTCAGTTCTTTTCCCTCTGAGAAAATACCTCTCCCGAGCTTATTATCCCTGATGAACATCTTGCTCTTGGGAAAGAACTAGGACATCTCCCTTCAGCTCCCTGAACTGAACGAGCCCTCTCACTGGAGCCACTTGGAGCACTACTGTGATCTGTATTAAATACAAAGTGGTTTTCTCAAGTACACATTCCTTTCACTCTAAGACCTCATGAATTCTGACCTGTTAGATTCTGACATGTGGCCTGGGCTAGCTGTAGTTTTAGCACAATGAAGAATGGGTTTGCTTGAGAAATTACTAGTTTAAATTGTTTTCTAAAGGGAACAATTAACAAGCCAGTGCTTATTTACAAACTAATACACTAATTTTAGGGAGCCTCATTGAAGTAGGTCCTGGAACACCTTGGCAAGATTCTTAGGATATACTTGAAATAATGTGCATTGGAAACCACTAGACTGAGAGGATGATGGGCTCAAGACTGAATCATAATTCTGGGAAATGGGGTAGCGAGGAAAGGGGAGGAAGTAGACCCCAGGTCATCTCAAGGACACCCAGCCTCATTTAGGTTGCTGACATTAAACTCTACCACAGAGATGAACAGCCCTGGCTACTGGGCTTGTGGCTTAGGGGAGGAAACCAAGGCAGGCAGGACAGTTGATAGGGCTGAATGCTGACATAGTAGTTTCATTTCAAGGGGGGAAAACTGGAAAACTAAGGCAAGGCCAGCAAGAAGGGGCAGCTACCCTTATGCTCTCCTGATGGCAAAGAAACTTGATTCAGTTCTTCTGAAGGCTAATCTACATCAAGAGCCATAAATGCATATGTATACTTTGATCTAATCATCTTACCCTGAGGAAATAATTTAAAAAAGAAAAAAATAAACGATTTACAAATGTGTTTACTAGTAGCATTTTTTAACAGTAAAAAGTTCAAATGCCCAACAGTAACTTTAACAGTTGATGGAAAGCCTGCTGAGTGAACACGGGAATTAAAGGCACTATACATATAATTTTAATTATACTTTATGGATAAATAAGAAAAAGTCACTGCCTAAAAGGAAAGTAGAGCTTTATTTTCCAGTATTATTTAATTTGGGCCCTTCCCCCACCCCACCAGATTTTCCATTAGACCACAATGGTGACTACTCTTCCTGCCAGTAGATCACAACTCGACACCGGCCCCACCAGTTTAGAGCAGTTTTGGCTCTAGGATCTTTGTCCCAACCTGGTTCTGGCTTCAGAAGCCTAAACTTTTGCCTTTGGTCACCTAATTTTTCAACTGTGCCAGCACTTTTTGCTACTTTGGATCTTAAAGGAAACCACCCATCAGAGGAGATTCTCCTAGATTCTAAATCTGTTAATTAACTTTCAGTTTAATAGGGAAGAAAGGCCAGGCATGGTGGTGCACACCTGTAATCCCAGCACTCAGGAGGCTGAAGCAGGATCATTGCGAGTCTGAGACTAGCCTAGGCTACATAAGTGAGCTCAAGGCCAGCCTGAACTGCAGAGCAAGACCCCACCCCGTCTCAAAAAGACAAAAATAAATAAGTAAATAAATGGAAGAAATGTCAAAATAGACTTGTTAGGAATGTTCCTCACCTCTTTATTGGGTTTTCACCTGATACATGAAACTACAGAATAAATACAGCCTTCCTGAAAGACAAAGCTAAGCCAGTAGCTTCTGATCTAGTGTTCAGAAAGACATGTTAGGTAACGGCTCAGGCTAGTGATGCAGCTCCAGTGGCCTCTTCAAATGAGGCCTCACCAACCACTAGCAGACAGACACACAGTATCCAGCGCCGTCCTTGGGTTGTCCCTCTCCCCAAGTTCAAGAGCAGGACCCATGTGAGGCGAGCAGCCTGTACTTCTGGAGGGTGGCTGTAGTGCTTTCCAGGGCGCTGAAGAGAACAAAACAGGATGGTTACATCCAGTTTCTCAAAATCCTCAGCCCACCAGAGTCTGGTGCCTGGGGGCTTTGAAACTCACTGGTCTCATGCTGTGTTTATCAAGCATCACTTGGTGAATCCAAAAAAAAGCCAGCAAATTTAATCCTACCACATCATTTCTCCATGCCTCCTGCACCCTGCTAGGGTGGGACAAGAGTGACAGCCTTCATTTGTCACAGCTACTTTTCATCTTCCTGGCTTCCCTCAAATTCTACCCCAATGCCACAGGAAAGACACTTACCACCCTGGACGGATGATGCCATACTTTCCAGGCACAGACAAATCAACCACAGTAGATCCAAGGCGACACTCAAGGCTCTGGTCACCCCCAATTGGTCCCCCATCAATAACCAGTGACAAATGAGGCCAGAGGTCTTGGAACTCCTGAAGAGGTAAAGGAAAAAGCATAGCCACATTCCCTGGTGTCCGCAGTGAAGTCACACTGCAACTGCCTCTAAGATAGAGGCCTCAATTTGGAAAGAGATGTCTTCCTTGAAGCAGAGAAGGGAACCTCACTAATTTAGGTCAGCTGTGCCAAAGGCAATGTGACAGCACCCATGCCAAGCATCCCCTGAAGTTTGTGGCACTCCTGGTTAGATCTTGTGTAATACCTGCCTAGAACTTAAGGCTCTGCTGTACCGAAAGAAAATTCCATGCATTGTTCAGGTCAGGGAGGAGTAAGAACACTGACTAGGGCTCTGGGTGGGAGTCTGGAGATGTGGGCTCTAACCCTGGGCTCACCCCTACATCTGGGTCATGCATTCAAGTTATTCCATTTAATCCTACAATACAACGTTAGACTAAATGTCCTTCCACCTCTGGTACTCTGATCTGGGATGTCACTGGAGCTCTGCGTCGGGGCAGGGAGAAGAAACAGGATGGACTCTGCAGTGCACAGTACTCAGTCCTTGGGCTGTGCGCCCATTAGGACTATCGTTTCGCTCTCCTTGTCCTCTGGTGAAGACACTGCAGTGCAGTTAGCACTGCGAATGAGTAGAGAATCACAAATGCCAGGTATGTACTACAGTGCCAAGCAGATCAGGGGATCGCTGACAAGATAAGAACCCCACTCCCACCTGCTCCACTCCTGAACAGCTATCCAGACAGAAAAACCCTGCAGTGTGAGAAGGATGCTGAGCTCATAGTTTCTGATCCCACTCCCTAGTTCTGGACATGGAATATCCCACCACCTAATGCATTTCACTAAACTTAAATTTAGTAAAAATTAAGTAAAATTTCCTGTGTCCTCACTCATTCCAAACAATGTGGCCAAGATACTACTAGGATGATACTTTCTTTAACCTGGGTTGTGCTAGAGGTAAGAGAACAAGGTTAGGAATCAAAAACTGGATAAAAATATCACGGCTATAATCCTAGCTACTCAGGAGGCTGAGGAACAGCATCTTGAGTTCAAGGCCAGCCCAACAATTAGCGAGAACTTGTCTCAAAGTAACAATTGAAGAACTGCGAATGAAACTCACTGGCAGTGCATTGGCCTAGCATTTGCAAGGTCCTGGGTTCAATCCCCACTACTGCAAAAAGAAAACAAAAAAGAGAAAAAAAAAATTGGGTAATAATCTGGGTCAGCCACTTAATGGCTGTGTGACCTGGAAGAAGTAACCTAACTTTTGAGAACCCTAACTTCTTCACCTTTCTTTATAGCACTGTTGGAAAGACTTACAGCCTAACTTTGTAGTCCTGACAACTGCTGCCCCCACAACATAGGAAAACAATAATTTTAATTATCATAGCCTTTCCTATTATTAAAAGGCCTTTCCTATTATTAAAGACAGTAGAAAGAGAACACCAGTTTTCACCCGTCCTCTCAAACTTGAAGAGAAAACCTTTTCAAGATTCTTTTATCCCAATGCCCTCCCGCCCCAACTGAACAGCCACCAGACTCTCCTGCAGGCAATTCCAGACTACCATCATCCACTGGTTCAGAGGAAACGGCTTAGCCTTCTGGTGTTTCTAGGGGAAAGGCTGAAAGACTCACCTCAATTTTCAGGGAACTGGCTTGGGAGCTCAGATTGGCGCTGGTGAGAGCAAGAGGTCCCCCAAACATCTGGGCCAACTCCTGCATGAAGGCATGGTCAGGAATCCGGATGCCTACAAGCTGAGGCAAGGCGAAAGGAGATCATAGGTTGGAAGGTGGGTTGGAAGGGGTAGGGAACTGGTCTGTTCGGAACCCCAGAGAAAGTCAGATGGCTGAAAGAGGAGAAACTTTGACTCACAGGAGTGAAGGGGTTCAGGTCTTTGTTGAGCTCCTCTGAGCGTTCCATCACCAGGGTCACTGGTCCTGGCAACAGCTCTTTTAGGAGCTCTTCAGGTACTTTCACTTGACAGTATCTGGGAAACAAAGGAGCACAAATCTACTTCAAGTGAAGAGCCACTGGTGGTCCTTTCCCATTCCGGGCAGATTCAAGAAAGGGCTGCTTTAGGCCTCCAACGCGATCTGCTTGTTTCCCTGCTTCCCCAAGACTGAGCAGAAAGCAGGACTCCGGAGAAGCACGCCAGTCTTGGAGCCCCACGCCCGTCTCGGGAGCTACACGAGCTGCATAGCTGTGACACCGTCCCAGGCTATCATATCAAGCTCAGGGGTTTCCGTCCTGAAGGACTCGTTACCAAATTAAGCTACCACGTTTCCTTTCTCCCCATGGGCCTTCTCCGGTACGCACAAGAGCGCTAAGAGAAAAGCGCCCGCCCGCCTCGCTTACCGCTGCGCCCCAGGTCCAGCTCAGGGCCTTCAAACGTTAACCGCTCGGCGCCTACTTCCAGTTCCGGATTCCTCGGGGAGCCGGGACAAGCCCCTCCCGCGCTCCGCGCCTCAGTCTCCCACGCCTGTCACCGGAAGCCCCTCCCGCGGTGCCGCCCCCACGGGGGCCGGGTCGGGGCAGCCTCACCTGTAGACGTCGGCCACGCGGCCCAGGCACACGGCCAGCGGCTTGGCCTCGCCGCGGCCCTTGAGGCGATACACAGCGCCCAGTGCCGCCGAGCAGCTCGCCGAACAGGCCAGGCCGTACAACGTGTCGGTGGGGACAGCCACCACGGCGCCGGCGCGCAGCTCGGCTGCCGCAGCCCGCAGCGCCTCGGTCCAGCCGGCGCGCTCAGGGCTTGCGGCCTGCACCGCCCCACTCCCCGGGAGCCTCAACAACCGAGCCCCCGGCGCCGCCGGAGCGGGGCTTGGCGGACGGAGGAGGCGGCCGCTGCGGGCGGAGCCCACTGGCCCATCGCTCAACCCCATGCTGGCAGCCACTGCGGCCCTCAGCCCGGCGCACGGTCGTGCCGGAGACATCCGCCCAGGCCTGCTTCCGGGAGGAAGTGACGCACACAACCAGCTTCCGGTCCGGGAGGCTCGGCCCCACCTCCGCGCCGGGCAGCTTAAAGGGACCACGACCCCCAGGAGGATTGAAGGAGACCGGTGGGGACGGGGCGGGGCACAGCTTTGCGGAGCCCTAGCGCAGCGCTGGGGCGGGGGGGCGGCCGAAAGGGGGGCGGTGGTCGGGCCGCGCAGGCGGAGATGGAATGGGGCCCGGGCTCAGACTGGTCACGGGGGTGAGAGGGGGCCCGTCGGGGCGGGGGAAAGGTGCTCGGAGCCCACAAGCGCCGGCCCTGACCCTGTGTGTCTCCCTCTCTCCCGGGCAGGGAGGCTGCCGGCGTGGACCGCGGGAAGGCGGGGCTGGGGCTCGGCGGGAGGCCACCCCCGCAGCCGCCCCGGGATGAGCGCGCCCAGCAGCTGCTGGACGCGGTGGAGCAGCGACAGCGGCAGCTCCTGGACACCATCGCCTCTTGCGAGGAGATGCTGCGGCAGCTGGGCCGCCGTCGCCCGGAGCCGTCTGGTGGCGGGGTCAGTGCCCACCCCGGGCTGGGCCTGACGGTAGGGGTGGGGTCTGCCCACTGGCCGGACTGGCTGAGCCCTCGCTTACCCTGGAGGGTGGAAAACTGCCTGCCGCTTTACCCTTAACCTTCTTTGATGTGGGTGAGAGGTTTTGAAAAAGTTAAGTACTGTCCAGATGCCAAGTGGCCATATCCTTGCAGGGCCTAATCCAAGGCCTTTCTTTCCAGGCTCACTTTTTCCCTTTCTCTTCCAACTAGAACGTCTCAGCCAAACCCGGAGCGCCGCCCCAGCCAGCTGTCTCCACCAGAGGTGGCTTCCCAAAGGATGCTGGTGATGGAGCTGCGGAGCCGTGACCATCCCCAAGCCGGGTGCCCTGACATGTCTCCCTCCCCAGGGATGGTGGTTGGACTCTGAACAACTCCCCTCAGTAAAGGGGCCAGTCTTACAAGCAGTGGCTGATACTTGGCCTTCAGCCTGGGGTGGCAGCTCTTGCTAGCAGCTGGGTTCACTCCCACTTCATCCTGGCTGAAGGCAGTGCTGTGCTTGGAAATATAGCCAGCGAATACCCAGTCTGACTACTTGGGTTTGGGTGGACCAGCAGTGCTCGCCAGCGTGGTCTGGCCCACTTTGGGGATTCCAGGTAGTATTACATGTCCATTTCATGCTTTGGGGGCTCTTAGCCCCACAAAACAACTTCGGCAGAGCCTTAATTAAAAGGAAACCTGCAGACTCTTCCTGGTGACGACCTCTCCTTTCGGTGCCCTCTCCTAGACTGACGGCTGGGTGGCGTTGGGGGGAAATGGGGAAAAAATGCACAGATACTACCAAATTTAAATAAGCATTTAATTAGGATTTCATTAGTATTTAATATTGCTTCTTCAATTCAAAAAAGTTAAATTTTCACTTCTTAGCAGATATTTTAAAGTACAATATTAAGTTTATACAAAATGAGCAATTAAGCAAACACCATTATTTCACATTCTTTAAAAATACAAATTCATATTTATTCTTTTTTGGATTTGGAGGTTTCTTCCTTTGGAAGTACTGAACCTGTAACGTTTTCATATCGCTCAGTGGAAGTCTGTTGTTCCCATGTTTCACACTTAAATAAATTTGATAGACTTTTACATAATCCAAATGAAACTATTTGGAATTTTAAAAATTGTCACCAAGACTACCAGCCAATGATTAGTGTGTCAAAAAAGGCTCCTGGGGGCTCTTGCCTTTCCTGGCTAGATTTCTACTAGAGACGGAATAAAAACCTGTTTCTAGTCACCTTCCAGAAAGGGACAAGAGGGCGTTCACAGGAAAAAGGAACAGTCACCTTGAACTCTGACCCCACCCCCACTTTCTCCAGAACACAACAGAAGATGGAGGCTGTTGAGTCCAACAGCCTTTGAGAGGCCTGAGAACATGAGAGGAAAAGGGCAAGAGAAGCCTCTGACTTGGCACCACTACAAGGACAAGGATATTGCAAAAAACACCCCTGGGTTTTGGTGAAAAAATGTTTTATGAAAAATTTTCCCATAAGAAAAAGTAGAAACTGCATTGAGCTGAGAAAGTGACATTATCACCCAATTTTTGGCCCAGTGGGCACACCACCAAAAGGGTAGTGTGTGGTTTTAAACCTCATTTCCAGTAAAAAAAGCTTTTACTATGTACAGCTTGACGTAAAGGTCCAGTTTAATTTGCATTTTTCAATGCAGACTGAGAAGCCCTCTTGATCAAGAATAACAATGAGAAATGCCCAGACTGATCATTAGCATCCCCAAGGGCATGAGAAGAAACAAGGACCCTTTCCCTCTCCCCTCACAAGAATATGCAAGAAGAAACAGGCTAAATAGACTGACCAATCCGAAATACACATTACTGGGTTTTACTGCCAACCCTGTGCCCCCAAATGTTAAGGAATGGACAGTTTCCAGGATGTTCAGCAGAGCCACTTGCACACCGCCTCTATGGAACTCTTTCTGCTTTGGTGAAGTGTATTTAAAACTTATGTAGTCTAGAGCCTGAAAACAAGATTAAGTGGGAGGCGGTGAGGGACAAGGAAGATGATAAACAAGAGTATTAGTAGCTTTGTTTACTGGATTTAATGGAGGCTGGAAGCCTTTTTTCTTAGAACCAACCCAGGTGGTATGAAGAACAGTACAGATATGGATCATGTTACCCCGACCCCTCCCCAAACATATTTCTGATTAGTGATATCAGAAAATTGTAAACTCTTGAGCAATATTGTTGCAGTTCCACAAATCAATGGTTTCAGTGACACTGGAGAAGTCTTTAAGGACAATGGACATGATTACAAATATAAAAGTCTAGAAGGTGCCAGATTTCTACCTAGGAACAACCTGTTCCTTTCAGGCATCACTTTGTAATGGTGAAGAGGGGAAAGATGGCAAGGGTCCAAGAAGTGGTGAAAAAGGGCCTCAACAGTCAGCTGGAGAAAACACCCACAGCAGTTCTTCCGAGAGCCTGAGGGGGCGCCCTGGGGCACACAGGGAAGGCTTGCATAGATTGAGCAGTTGCTGAGGATGCATAATAGTGTTTCCCTACAGACACCCTGCTAGCACAGGCTGAGCAAGGGGAAAAACACGGCCAGGCCAGGGCCACATGGGACAACGACCATCAAGCTACACATATTGCACCAAGGTAAGTGCTTTCTTTTCACACCTCAATTTAACTTTTTATTCTGAGCAAAAAATAAAACTTTGTGGAAAGTATATGTATATATGTATATATATATACACACAACAAAAATTGCAGCAATTGGGTTAAAGATAAAATAACCTAAAGTGCTTTTTATTTTATTATTTCTTTAATATACCAATATGAGGTTCTGCAAACTTGTCCCTCTGGACACATTCAACATTATACAAAGTCTCTCAGGAAAACCCACCTACCCTCCATTATCCCCATCGGTCCACTGTCTTGAACCTGAAAATGACTCTCCACTCTACTGACTCTCCCAGAGGTGGGGACGAGCAGCCCCTTGCCTTTCTACCCAAAGAGGGCATCACCTCTCAAGGACTCTCTTGGGCTTTGTACCATAATGTCCTCCTAAGCAGGGTGGAATTCAATCAATGACACTATTCCTGCTACCAAACTAGTGAGGCCCCCTTGACTGGCCAGACTGGCCAGACCTTGTCAGGAAAGGCAGAGCCACTTCCTTCAATGCCTCACCCACCTACCTGGGAAGGGCCAAGTTCATGCAGGCAGTTTGGTGGCACCTGCTAGTTTCCTTACTGTCTCCCCCTGAATCCATAAACTCCTCTCCTTGGTGCTGACTAGCACCCTAGAAGGACAGTCTAACTGGAGATGCTAGTGGGAGCCAAAGTATAGGCCTATAGGGTGAAAATGGTTATGGTTACTATAGGGAGAATAGGCTTGATTCTACCTGTTAGAATTACCCAAGGTTCATTTCCAGGTTTGGAAAACCATACTGTTCATGAAGGTTCTTTCTACCTCCAGTGCAGCCAAAAGACCTCTCTTATCTGAGGTCTTTGCCACTGGAGGCCAGGGCTGTGGGAGAGGATGGGAAGGGACGGAGGGAAGGTCTGCCTACCCTGTGGAATAAACCTGCACTACATAAGCATTTGAAGCACATTCCTGATTTATCAAAAGTGATCAGATCTGATAATCTCTTTTGTAATCCAAACCACCCACAAAAGGCAGATATTTCAACTTCTTCAATTAGAAAAATCTATGAGTCTAAATACTGTTTTAAGCTGCATCTTCACCACCCCCAATCTGTGGAGAGTGACCCGGGCAGGGCTCAACATGAGGACAGCCCTGGCTAGGCAAGAAGCCAACACTTGAACCACAGATGCTCTGCCTGTCCTCCAGACCCCTACTTTCTTCCTCATGCCCCAGGAACCAGAACCACAGGTCACCAGAGGGTGGGCACATGGGACAGTCATAGCTACCATCTGCCACGAGCTAACTTTGGGATCCCATCCACTGCTTTTGCATCCAGGTTCACAGCTTCCTATTGGTGTAAGGCTTAGTGACAGCCAGGACAACCTCCACTTGCATTTGATTTCCCAGGAGGATTGGCCCGCTGTGGTAGTAGAAGATTCCTCCTGCCTTATCAACTTCTGCTGAGGTCAGTGGTTGCCAAAAACTACCAACCTTTAGGGATAAAGAGTACAGAAGTTTAAAGAGAAATCAATTCTCCCGTCTAGACTTCTGGAAGAGAAATCAGCTGCTTGCATTTAAGCCCATTTCTCCTCATGGCAGTAACAGCATTACCAAAACTACCCTCTTGTCCAAGCTTGTCCCTGTACATCCTTGCTAAAGGCAGGGTCTCTGGCTCCAAGCTAAGTGATCTGCCTCCAAGGTAAGCTCAGAGCAGGAGTGTGATCAGTGCAGATCTCTCACTGGCTGGCTCTCACTGCCTTGTTTATGGAAACCCACTCCTTGCTGGAGGCAGGGAAAGAGTTCTTGAGAGACAGGGGCCTATCCCACACTCTGAGCCATGGTTTCTGACCTTGGTGAGCACTCGTGACTACACTGAACAGCCAGGTGAGAGAAACTTGCCATTCTAGTATGCACTGTATTTTATGTTTCAAGAGGAAATACTTGGAGCCAGACAGATAGATATAATTCTACACACACACACACACACACACACACACACAAATTTTCCTATAACACAACTTAATGAAACATTCTAAATGAGACAACTTATTGCAACATTTCAGGCTTTTTGGTGGAAGGGGAATTTTTTGTTTTACCCTGAGTAGAAGATCATTGTTTTTGTTTTTTTGTTTTTTTTTTCCTTTTTGTTTAAAAATCACATGACTAAGCTGAGCAAGTCACATTCTTGTTTGCACTGTACTAGGCTGTATGCAAAATCCAGAGGAGGAGCGGAGATGGAAAAGGGCAACCAAAAGCCTGGCTAGAACCTAGAACTGGAACACCTGGCCTGCCAATCACCCACTACCTCCTATGAGCTCCCTTCAATCTGCACGTTTTACTAAGAAGCAAGATGTAGCCCTTCTGCTCTGAAGAAGAAAACAGCATTCAAAGGAAGGCAGACCACTGGCTGGCCACTGGCCCTAAACCCCATGTTCACTCTAGGACAAAACAGGGATGTTCCTCAAGGAAAACTCACTGTGACCTTCGAGCTCTGGCAAGCAGGTGAGAGGTGGAAAGAACCAGAGAGGCAAACGCTGTGATTGTGCTGCTGAAGCAGTGGTGGTGACCCTACGGCACACACACTGCAACCGGCTGTTCGCTGTCACTGAAACCTTTCAAGGTTTACTGTCACTGTGCTAGAGCCTACTCTGCACACATACCATCAACACACAGCAGTCAACAACCGGCCTGGGGTCCCCACAGAACCAGATCATCCCCACAGCTGGCAGGCCAGGTTTTGGGCTGCCAAAAGTCTGTGCAGAGTGGGCTACAGGACGGCCTGCAGATTGACCCTGAGCCCTACCAACACCAAGTACAAACAACAAAGCCGTCTCACCCGACCCTGTCCAGCTCACAGCTGTCTCACCTGCCCTCACACTGCCCACTTTGATGGGGTGAGAGCCTGGCCTCTGGACCAAGAGTCAGCCTCAGATTAAAGACACACAGGGAGGAGCACAACCTGACACACTGACCTCTCCTACCCAATCCATAAAGACTCCAGTGCAAGTGATGGGCAGTACTAGATTGATGGCAACCACACCCTTTCATTTAGAATTTTTATGCATACGAGTAACCTTACTTTCCAAATTCATATGACAAGAAGCGAAAGTGACATACAGTGCAGCCAAACAGTTCATTTATAACTTAGCTTTTTTTGTTTGTTTTTTGTTTTTTTCCAAAGATCAGTTCCTTAAAATGGATGTTCCTGGGATGTGAATAAAGAAAATACGTCTGAAAGGTGAGGCTTTCAAACAGCAGATTTCTTCATCCTTCCAATTTCTGACCCCATGATGGTAGACGTCGCGCCTCCTGCTTCCTGCTTGCCCTCTTCCTGTAGACAAGCACGCATGGGCCCTTCACTTGCAGAAACTGCCTTGGGCCCATCTCCTCCTACCCTGCAGCAGTGCTTCAGTGGGAATCAGGACAGGGTGTCCAGGCTCTAGAGGGCAGGAGCTCAGACACATCCATGGCACTTAACGTTTCCATCTGAGGGTCTGAAGGAGCCTCGGCCTGTCTGCTTTGCCCACAGGAAGAGGGTCCAGTGGAGGAGGATGACAAGGGACTAGGGTGAGGACAAAGTCTAGGGTGGTAGCTGCAGGCTGGGCCCATCAGCAGGCTTGGCTCTGGCGCCGGTGGGGAAGAACAGCCCTTTCTGCACCAGCTGCCCACTACTTGGCAGAGTCCCGGCACGCACACTGACACTGACATGCCTCCTCTTGTTTGATGATGATCACAGGAACACTGAGGCCAATCTGCTGGACAGAGCTCCCTGCGAGAGAGGCAAGAGATACTGCTCTTCAGGCAGCCACAGGCAGAGGCAGGGGTATACGGATGCATGAGGGCTGGGTGCCGGGACACAGGAGTGGTGAGAAGAATGGATGCCACCTGTTGGGCTTTTTTCCTCTTTAACCTGGACCAGGTTCCTCCTGAGGGAAAACGCCTGTGCCACCCCCCATCTCTCCAAGACAGACTCCCTTCCTTGCAAGCCAAACACACAATCTAGATCCCCCTGGCCCTTCTCTGCTGTGCTTCCCTGCCAACTGCAGCAGACTCTGCCCTTTCCCTGACATCTTCTCCATACCTCTGGGGCTCTGGGTACTTCCTCCGGCCTGAGGTCCCCTGATGACACTGTTCCTCGAGAGACCTTAGTCTCCCCTTCCAACACCCAGCTGGCCCTCCTGCTGCCCACAGGCAGTTTCCCAAGGGCTGCGCAGAGGGCTAGCCCGGGTGAAGCCAGCAGCTGCTGGGCCCACACACACGTGCTGCTGCCTTCCCTCTACGCCCCTGTCCATGCTGCACTGGGCTGCTGAGACTCACCCTTAGAACATCTTGCTACTCTGTGTGGCCCCCATCACTGACACATAGGTGTCAGCTGACCCCCTTCTTCCCTGCCCCCATCACGTGCGTTGTGCACATGCAGGCTCTGAATTCAGCCAGGCTCTGTGGAGCAGAGCACGTTGGGAACGGGGAAACCAACAGCTACTTTCTGGCTCTCCTGAACATTCACTTATGACTATGGAAGTCACTTTATCTTTCTGGGTCCTGGTTATTGTATTTTATTTTGAGACAGGGTCTCTGTAAGGCACTAAATTGCCCAGGCAGGGCACAAGCTTATAATAATCCTGCCTCAGCCTCCCAGAGTGCTAAGATTACAGGCGTGCACCACCGTGCCTGGCAAGGTCTCAGTTTCATACAAGTCCAGTAAATTAACAACTGCCCTCTTTATCATGAACTGTAATTCAGACTTTTTCTGGCTACACTGAAATGCTGTAGCTGAAAAGGACGAACTGTTACCAGGGAAAGAAGGTTACCCATGGTCTTCACACCAACACATTAAGCTCCAGTAGCTGCGAGAGCATGAACAAATGCTAATGAACAATACGATGTGAATTTAAATAGGCTGCATAAACATTTTTAAAGGCTCAAAAACTTTAAAGAATTTACTCTGTCTCAAGGGGCCCACAGAGGTGACTTTCTTTAAAAGCTGACATGGAATTACATACCTGTGCTACTGGCTACTGGTACTGCAGTGGTAAAAAACACCTTCTCAACTTTCGATGCTTGCTGCTGGGAAAAAGAAGAAATCACACTTATGGCCACTTGAATAAGGCAGCTATCCAAGGACCTGAGGCCTCCCGACTTGTAATGGTCCCCAAGAGGACAGAGAGCCCTCAGTGTTCAGGGAGCGCTGTACTGAGTGATGTTTTGTTTGTGCTCCAACACAAGGTCACTGCCCTGTTTGACATTCCACGCTGACAGCGTAGCCAGCTCTGTGCCCCACCGCTTGGCCGTCTCCCAGCTGCCTGAGCCCTGGCTGTGTGGATCCAGAGACTCCTCCCAGGTTGCTTTGCTCAAGCTGCTGGCTCCTCAGGAGGAGCCCAGAGCTGCCCTTCCGTCCAGGGTATCTCCCCAGCCCCCGCCGTGTCTTCCCTCAAAGCTGGGGAGTTCTTTCCTTCCTCCAGGGGGTTTGGCTGCCCACTAGGGACAGGGAGGTTTCCTTTCAGCCCTGGGAAGGTCTTGGCAGTACTGTGAGCTGCACAGGATGGAGGGCTCCAGGTGGACTCAGCCACCTGATTCTAGTCCAAGCTCTGTTACTTGTTAGTTGTTGACGGCAGCCTAGGGATCTGACCTCTGAGAGCTGTGTCCTATAAAGAGGGGTGATAACGAAGGCCCCCTCGGAGAACTCTGAGGATTAAACGAGGTGATGGGTGGAGAGCACTGGGCTCATGGTGAACATTCGAGAAACATCAGTGACTTCTACTGTGACTATGGAGGACGACAAAAGTATGCCCATGCGTCAGATTTACTGCTTCTATTCAATTGGCGAGAGGGTTTCTGCTTTCAAGTCGTATATATTTATACATTTTTGTAGTACTGGGGATTGAACCAGGGGCCTTCACATGGACCTCTATCCCTAGTCCTTTTCATTCGGAGACAGGGCCCCCTAAGTCCGTTGTTAGGCTGCCCAGGCTGGACTCAGTGAGGCGCTCTGGCCTCGGCTTCCTGGAGCACTATGATTACAGGCACACGCCACTGAGCCTGGCTTGAAGCCTGTTGTTTTTTTTTTTTTTTTGAGACAGGGTCTCACTATGTGGCCTCAAACTAGAGATGATCCTCTTGCCTCAGCCTTGAGTGCTGGGATTACAGGATTACAAGCCTGTGCCACCATGCCCAGCTCTGCAAATTTTATCTTAAAGGGGCTTTATCTTTTATTCCCACCCTCTGGGAGGAAGTAAAAGCTTATACAGCAATGAAGGAGACATGAGACTCATTTAAACACATGAAAAGGAATTACAGTATGTGGAGGAATAGTGACATTTGTTTCATGCAGCTCCCTGGGGTGGGTCCAGACAGAAGGACAAAGGCTCTGTGCAGGCAGACAAGGTCACAAGAGTGGAAAGGCCACTCCAATGACTCCGGCTCTCTGGAGCAAGGCAGGCTCCTCTGAGAGTGGCTGGTACCCCACCTCTGGAATTTTGGTGCTTTTCCATGCACTCTAAACTACCTTTCCAGTTTACTTACGTCTACAGACAAATTCTCCTACTCAGTACACCCTTTCCTCCACCTAATTCCTACCCGTCATTCAAGGCTCTCCTGATCTGCATAACTATCCTACAAGGCCCTTAGAGTCTGAACCCCTCCTCTGGCAGCACAATGCAATAACCAACAGCACAGACTCTGAGTCAGTCTGCCTAGGCTCAAATCCCAGCTCTGTTTTGTGTGAGCTGTGTGACCCTGGGCTGGTCACTTAACCTCTCTGGACCACAACCATCCATATGTAAAATCATACCTATCGCCTATGACTGTTACAACGTGCTAAAAAGAGCTTAGTTAACACAATGTATGACATTAGAAAGTCACAGACATAAAAAGTAAAAAGAGGAGGGGAGAAAGGACAAATCAGAGACGCACAGGTGAAACTATTTTGGATATTTTAAAGATAGATCCAGCACATACAACACTAAGAATGAATCAGTCCTAAGCCCTTAGTTAGTAACTGAGACTCATGTCTCCTTTAGTTAGTAACTATACTTATGCTGGTTATATCCAAGGTACCACAACGATGCAAAATAAGAAAAGGGGCTGAGGCAGGAGGATCACTGTGAGTTTGAGACCAGCCTGGGCTACAAAGTGAGCTCAAGGCCAGCCTGGACTGCATAGCGAGACCCTGCCTCAAAAAGACAAAAAAGAAAGAAAGAAAGAAAGAAAGAAAGAAAGAAAGAAAGAAAGAAAGAAAGAAAACAAGAAAAATGCACAGTGTGTTTATAGGGAATATCTAAATAGAAACATCACTCCTAAGCAGCATTGGCAGCTAAGATGCTGTGAGCAACTTGCTCGCAGGCTTCAGATGTTCCCA